TATCAGGGTTAATGGTTAATTTTAGGTACTAGGGTCTGGGACAGGATGTCTAAAGTGAGTAATTTCACGCTTTGGGACGGTACTATTTGTGCATTTTCTACACTTTCAGAAATTACGACAACAGATTCCGCCCCATCCCGTCAAAATATGACGCAAGGGGGGTACCTGATGCGTCAAAATTGGACGCAAAGGGACCTTTGAAAAACGTCAATATGTGACGACTCGGGAGTGAGAATGTGTTGGACTCACAGCTACCACCACACCAAAAGTTTAGCTACGCATTTATTAAATTGACTGAACATTTTTGTCTTCTAAAGTCAGTAAGCTGTGGCGGCCATCAATGTGATCTGAGCAGAACATAATGTAACAGTTTAAAATTAAAATAATCTTATAAAGTTGATGTAATCACTGTTATTTATTAAATTGACTGAACATTTTTGTCTTTTCTAAAGTCAGTAAGCTGTGGCGGCCATCTTGATTTAGGCTGTGTCCTAACATTAACCAGTTTAGACGTACATCCAATAATTATTTTATAAAAGTTTCATTAAAATTGGTCCTGTGGATCATTACGGAGCCCGCGAGGGGACACGGGGGGATTTTTTTTCTTTTGTGTTCCCTGGCAATACTTTTGCGTTACCTCGCAATATTGTTTTGCGTTCCCACGCAAAAGTTTGTTTTGTATATGAACTTAATTAAATCAGACTTTTATTTTGAAATATCTGGTTACCAAAACAGGACGTGTCGCCACAAGTTCGTGAAATTGACATTGATGTTGCGTGGCTGCACTGTGTTAAAATATCGGCATATGACTCACTTCCATGCGTGGCTGTGTGATATATTCATTCTGAAGCTGAATTAAAGCAGTAGGCTAACGCGCTAATGGTGAACATGTGAGTTTGTTAATAAACCGGCAGGCACAACAGTGATAAACTACTTTTGCGAGGGAACGCAAAAGAAAAAAAAATCTCCCATGTCCCCTCACGGCCTCCGTAGATCATGATGTATTATGCCAACAGACAGACCAACACAAGCACACACAAACACAGGCAAATACATGATTGCTTGCCTTTCATGGCAGTGACCGGCAATCATAGAAAAAATATTAAATGATCTTACGCTGTTATGAACTGTCTTTGAAATCTGGAATGACTGTTCATCAACAAACTGAGATGAGATTTCAGCCTGTTTGATGAAAGTTGTGATTTAAAACAGACAGACTGCTGTGACTATGTAAACATTTTCACTCACTTGTGATCCTCTCTGCTCTGACCCAACACACTGCGGTGTGATTCATTGCCTGCAGAAAAAGAAATTTGATTGTTAAGATGGATACACTGATGTTAAAACAAACAGGCTGCATGCTAAGTAAAATATATATGTATATAAATACATATATATCTACTGTGTTTATACTGTATATATATGTGTGTGTGTATACAATGTCCAAACACAAAGCAGAACATATAGCAATTGCATCACTGTGAAAAAAAGTAAACCAATTCAAGGTCAACAAAAGACATTTTATTAGAAATTAATTTATTTCATTAATGTGTTTAGTTTGCTGAACATTATTTTAGAGCCTTTTATTGAAATTTAGTCCTTTCTTTAAAATAACAGTTTAGCTGAAATGCTTAAGGATCTAATTAGACATGAGGGACATTTATTTTGGGGGTTTAAACGTGCAGGTTTACTTTTTTTTTTAGTGGAAGTTAGCATTTGATGATTATATTAGGATTAGGATTAAGGTTACCTGCTTAGTGTTTAGTCTTCCTTTCAGTCCCATGATTTACACGCTTAATCAGAGTCGGGCTGCAGCTGTGCTAATCACAAAAGAGAATTCCAACCGCTGAATGGACTTGGACATTCGTTTTTTTTTTTAACACGGAAAAGTGCAGAGCAAATACAGCTTATTCAGGGTGAATGACAAGAAATGCAAAAAAAGAGGTTAGCAGGAACATTGAAAAGTTGCAGATTACAACTAATAAACACACTATCAGAGGGAAAAGACCAAGATTTAATCCATGTTATGGGCCAGCTTGGATTGTTGAGCATATTTAAGGCATTTTAATAGAAATGTGTGAGGAGTTCTTACCTCTTTTAAACGCCAGAAACAATGTCAGTGAATCAATGTCTGTTTATGATGTAACACTTGAAAGAAAAGAGTTTATTAGCTACTAAATAGTGATGAAATATTCAATAATAATAGAGCAAAAATATAGATTAGTTTATGAATGAGTCATTTGGGGTTTGTTTCCTTTATGAAAAATTATTTGTTGCTTGTGATCAAATGTCAGCGTTTAGATAAACATTTTTGAACAAACTATAAAAAACACCTATTTAACGCTCAACTGTTATTTATTAAGTCTTTTACAGTTTGAGGTTTATGATGTTTTTATTAAATGCTTTATGTACAAATACAGAATACAGACAGAACATGGCACATATTATAAATTACATACTGTGAATTAGTGACTGCTTTCAACCCAAGCAAAATAAGCAAAATGTATTTTTTGCACAATCACAATCTCACATCATTTTTTAAAATCTAAAATCACAATTTACCAAAMAATTTTCTTCCTTTTTTCCCCTGGATGAGTCATCTTTTATGGAGCAGTCATTTATTGGAAAACTCGAGGTGTAATTAAGAGTTCTGAACATTAAACATCTTTGAGAGAAATTTGTAGCTCATCTCGACACATTCAGGTCTTAAATCCTTCAAGGATTGGTTTCCATTTGTTGCGTTTAACGGAGTCTACCGTGTTATTTCTGTTCGGGGCAAAGTGTGGCTGTCTGGAGGTGTGTTACCATGGAAATGGCTTTTGCAAATCAAGCAACAGCTGAAATCATTAAGAAAGCAGAGCGTCTGCGGATCAGTATTGGTTTATAAGAGAGACATTTTCCACAAAACTGTTTCAAAAGGCAGAAACATCCTCGATGGAAATCAGGATGAATTTTATCACTGCAATATGATGGAAAATATTAGTCAAATAAGCTCAATAACCAAGTAGTTCTGGTTCATGACAKATCAATCAATTAACTAAGAGGCTAAAGATTAAAAAAGATGATTTTTTAAAATAATTTAGCATCACAAAAACTTGTTTCCTCTCTTTGTTTTAGTTAGTTATTAGAATTTGTGGGCCAGTTTATATAATCTCAGCTAAAGGCCTGTTTCACACAAGTCAAAGTAGAAACTAATGAGCTAAAATGTGGCCATTGGCTGCAATGAGAGTGTTTAATGATAATCAGCAGCTTTAAAATATTATATCAATTTGTTTGAATGATATGTTTCTCGATATCATAAAATCTATCAGAATGATTTTGATTCAATTCAATTCACAAGTCTACAATCAATATATGGATGTGATGTTTTAATTAATATATTGATATATCAATATATTGCTACATCCCTTTAAAACTGAGGACTTATATCCAATTAAGATTCATGGGATTACAACATTTGGTTAACCCCCACACACTAATTTTTCAATACAGGTGCTACATTTAAAGTTGCAAGAGTGGTCACAGCTAATTTCTCTTAACAGAAACCAATGTGTACACTTCCTGTCATCTTGAATGGGAGCTACTTTTGTTCATTTACTTGCGCAAGCGCAGAAAAACTATTGACTGCAGCCGTCTGCAGTGGGCATTTGTGATTTGACACAGGTGCTGGGTGTTTCCAAAAGCCTCCACTCTGAAACCTGGATTCAAAACGCTTCGGTGTTCGAGAAAATTAGCACTTTTTTTCCATGTACACAAACAGCCAAAATGCTACAGCTACACTTGTGTAAAAGGGTCTAAATGAGAGCCGATATCATGACATGTTCCTGTGAAGCAGGTTGCACCAGTGCTCTAAGTCCAAACAATGCTGCATTCAGTGTCATCAGGGAGCAATTACTGCTTCATGTACTATCTTTCAAATTTATTATTTTTTATTTCTCATTTCGCAGCCTTGCTTCTATAATGTGCCGTTGTTGACAACTGTCACAACATTATGGGATATTTCATAGCCTCCTTGAAAAATYTGATGAAGTTTCTGTTTTTTTGTCTCCCGTTTCTGACTATTTTAATGATGCTGACACAGGAAGCACAGRAAACAGAACGGGGGTACCAAAGCGTGGGAGGAGAAGGTACCTCTGCTTTTCAAGCAAGTTACACAATGACAGAGTGTAGAAAGCTGGCACAGAGAGCAGGAGTAGGCTTGTGAACCCATAATTATCACTGCCATAAAGGCAATAAATGGAAACCAATCTGTCACAACAACAAACATGACCTGTGAGAACAAATCTGAAGAGTAATYTTAAAATTATGAAACCACTGTTTTGGGGGAGGACAGAAGATATTTAAACAGCTAATTGTAAGCACAACCTTCTTTTATACGCATGGGTATTTTTATGTMCAAAAGAAAAGACTCCGTCTTGTATGAATTAACACATCAGAATAATACAGTAAAGTTTATGGTCGTTTTTTTTTCTCCATCATTTTTATAAGCCGATGAGCAAAAAAGTGAACATTACAGCATTGTATGAAAAATTCAGAAGACAAAAAGTTATAAAGAGAATTGCAGGTCACAAATCTGGAGCACCTTCAGTATCTACCATAAGGGTGTTTTCTGTAGCCCCCTCTTGTCAGCCGTAAAGTAGGAGCTTTGAGACCGGGCCGGGTGCTTGTCCACTCTTCCTCTGCAAAAATAGATAAAAAATAATAATAATAATAACACGTGGAAGAAAGCTTTGTGTTGAGAAATTTCATGCAGCAGAAGTTGTCATATTAACACCTGATATTCCGGTAGACTCGGTTCGATTGGGGACCAAAATTGCAAGAATTGTTTACATTTTAAGTTGGTGCGGTTCGCATTCATACTGCACTTTGTCAAATAAGCTGAGAACAACCTGCTCCCTTCCTCACCTGTGGTGGTGCTGCACCAAGAACCACTGAGGGAATCGACACAAAAACCTCAGAAGAAGACATGGAGTGCTACTTCCTTCTTCACAAAATGTAAACAATCATGGAGTAATGTCAGATTTTAATGGTTGTAGGATTTATCTTTTGTTTTTGGCAAATGTGCCAAACAAATAGTCTTCAATAATGAGTGGAAGATGGGGCAGAACCGCAGAGAATGTTGTTTCTTTTACAAGGTGGCTGAGACGGCTCCACGTGAGGCGGCATTCACCAAGAAGGAGCTTTATTACTATTACTACTCAGAATGACCTGCGTTGTAGTCCGCTTCCTTCTTTTGGAGCGGCCTCTAGTTTGCTTGGCTTTCACATACGCAATCGAATTGCACCAGAGTTCACTACAACCTAACCAAGACCCACCTTTATTGGTGCACCAGAGTTCACTTTTTTGGTACAAATCAGAGTCTGATTACGTGTTCACACCTCCCCAAACGAACCAGACTTTCCAGGTAAATGAACTAGAGTTTGAAAAGAAAGAATAAGTAGGTCCTCTGAACGGGTTCTTTAATGAAACATTTTATCTCTCCTCCTACAGACTTCTTCAGTCTGAGGAGTTTCAGGTGAACTCAGCCTTATAAGCACTGCCTCCACATGGTGGACCAACAGGTTGGTCACATACAAAAGAGGACCATCAGRCAAACAATAGGTTGTTAGTGCCTTGATTGGCTCTATTGTTCATASAGGGTCARGTGGCCCATCACCTGACTATTGTTAGGGCCCTGATTCACACAGGGGGCTGAGTCATACTTGCAATAACAGCATTGTAGGAGGGGGACAACTGGACATGAAGTCCTCTACCTCTGTTTAATGGTGGACGGTTTTTCTTCACAAAAATGGCTTCCTTTTCTCTCAAACCAACGTTCCTCTCTATCAAGGATGAGACTATCTTCATCCCTGAAAGTGTGACCGCTGGCCTTTTAGATAAGTGTAAATTGCAGAGTCTTGGCCTGATGATTTTGCTCGTCTGTGCTGGACCATTCTTTTGAACAGTGGCTGCTTTGTTTCCCCAATGTATAACTGATCACAGTCCTCCTACTTAACAGCATARACAAACTAGAGCATATATGAACTAGAGTTCGATTAAAGTGGACTAAACAGAGCTGGTATAAATGCACACATACATTCGGTCCTTTCACAGTACGTTTCACCAAGGACACACAAAAAGGTCTGAGATAAAACAAGGGTTCCCAAATGGTGCACTGAGTCTGGACCCTAAACTCCACACCTGGCTAGAGGTTTCTGTGTGCAGAAAGAAACTGCCAGCCCACAGAAAAGACAATAGTGAAGAAAAGCAACATGGCTCACACTGAAAGAGAACATAAATATTTATATTTTCTAGACGTTTGCTAGAAATAACATTTCTTTAGGCAGACCTTGTTGAATTTTAATTGAAAACCACTAGATTAGACTGTTTGTGCTTCCCCCCTTTAAGRCAAAATGCATAAAGATGGCCACCTTACAATGCACATTGTGCCGCTTCCAAAAAAAGAAAGTTTTTATGAAGCAGAAAATGAAATCATTGCTCCCTTGGTTTTGGTTTGATTCAACCCCAACGCCTCAGAGCCCAATTCATCGTGCTGAAAATTAATGAACCTGCAAACCTGCAATGGCAACCAGCGCACCGCTGCCATCACGGCACCTCGCGCCTCAACATCTGAGATTTTTCTTGCTTACATTAAATTTCTCCCCGTCAAAGCTTTGAATCTATTACTTTGAAAATCAATGACCTCCTTTATGGAAATAAATACATATCTTAAGAACATGTCCAGACATCTGGGGGTACGGAGCTCCATCCAAGATTGATTCATGTGCACGCAGAGGAGGAGAGAAATAGCTTTTTGAAATAAGCCTTTAAGGGCACGTACCCAAAAGGCAAAACAGRTTCACAACAGGTACCGACCGGTTAGCCCAGTGAGCTTCCACTGGCACATTCACYGTTTTCAGTTTGCAGCCAGGCAGGTAGGAGGGGTGATGCATGCGGCAGTGACTCCCTGGGTCAGGAAGTGGGCTGGYACTGCTGGCTTTTTCTCTTTGTCTCTTGGCTGTTAAAATTCTTTTAAATAACAGTGTAGCCACAGCTAAAGCTCTACGATCAACAGAGATGTTTTTAAAATCCCACCTGGTGCTTCTGAATGTGGTTAATTACCTGCAATAATGGTGAAAAATTACTATTGTTTTTTTAATTTTTTTTTACAAAAAAACTGATTCAACACAGCCTTTTCTAAAGACTAATATTTGAATATTTTGGTTAGTCTACATAAATTTAGAAGTGAGGTACATGTTGCTTGATAAAAGGACCTAATTAGTTGGCTTTTAAAAAATTCAAATCAGTTTTATAGATAGACTAAAATCACATAATCAACACTTTTTTTTAGATTAAATGGTGTCCTTATGTTGCACTTTTTTTCTAGATTAAACACAGAGTTTCAAAAAGAACAACATGAAAATGAGAGTGACTCATGTTAAGAGCTTCTGAGGYCATAAAAGACTGAACTTACCATAGCTGTAGGATTCATCACTGGTTCCGTGTCCATATTCATAATACTCTGAAAGGCTAAACAAAAACATAACCATCACTCAAAGTCCATCTACATTTTAGCAGTCACCAATAAAAAACAAAACTGAAATCATAGTTATCTATAATGTTATTAACTGTTATTCCTAAACCCAGTGGTTCTTTTATAAGGAGGAAAAACAGCTCCTAAATGTGTGGTTTTACTCCCTGGAACGCCTCCATAATCCTGCAGCAGATGGGCTCTGTAAGGTTTAGAAACTTTAGCTCAGGGATGAGCAAATAAAACATTTGTTTAAGACCATTTTCACCCATGGATTAATTACACTCTTGGTGCTCAGTTGAGGATTTTCAGCAGCAAGATGGTGAATGTGGGATTTACTGCTGCGTTTGTGTTGCTCATGTTGCTCACTGATGTGTTTTTAATAAACAGGAGAACTCTATCTGGCACAACRACCGAATATTAAGCTTTCTCGTTGGGTGGCATTTTGAGTGAAATGTYTTTACGCCAATAAAGCTGTAACCTTACCCTATGCTTTATACGTWTGTCTGTTTTAACATTACCTCTTAGACTGACTGCTGTAGTCGTCTTCATAGGCTTCGTAATTCTCGTCGTCGTATTCTCCTCCGTATCCATCATCATAACCCTGCAATTAAAAAAACACAATAAATGGACTTACCAGTAATATTTCTGTCCACCATAATTTGTTGGATACAATTAAAATAAAACTGGCATTTGACAGAATACACAGACATACGCTGCTTTTAAGACCCATGTTTTAAGTAAAAATTTTGTTATTTGTTAGTTTTTACAATAGGAATTGGGAATTACGCTCATCTACTCTATTACCACATCCGATATCAGCTCAATATCAGAAATATTCACGAAGTTTTGTGTTAATGTGACAACCTGTGACGGCCGTCTTAAATCAAACTAATTAAAAATTTAATCAATTATAGAAGAACACCCAGCCATTCTTTTCTAAGCATTTCAATAAAACTTGACCAATCGGTCATTAAGTATTTTGTTAACAGACAGGGTTGAATTTATTCCATAGTAAGGCTTTAAATAAAGAGTTGAGTCAAGCTGAAGTGTGTCAGGAATGAAACTCATCTATTATCACACCAAATATGAGCTTTTTTTTGCTACCCTTTTGCTTTTAGTTTTCATTCTGCCTTTTGATACCTATAACTACCCATTTGCTAGTTTAAGCTTTTATCTAACGTTTCACTGCTTTTTGTTAAATTGTTTTGTTGTAGATAGGGATTTATTATTGCTCATGGTGAATCCAGTGTAATTTTGCCTTCAGAATAGGATTGACGTAAATCTCCACCACCCTATTTTTGGACTCCTCTCTTTTGTGTTTTCTATTGATTGACTCGTAAAATCCGCTTCATTAGAACACTTTCTTTTTACTGTCCGGTGGCTGAGTGTTAATACACTCCGKACAGTTGCTTTCAGTTTCGACTGGGCACTCTGAGTAATTAAGTTTTATGAGGTGAGGTGAGTGCCTAGTTGTCTTTTCCACGCCATGGATTGGGTGAAAGGAAGACTGCTGGCACCAGTAAAGCTGAAAAAGGTAATTTTACAGCCTGTCTCAACTTTTTACTGTTGATTTTTTCTACTCTTTGTTAGTTGCTAGAACATCAATCATAGATGAGGCATTCAAATGTAAAATAATATTATTTGTAAACTACATAAGTTTTGTTTAATGAATCAGATTGGACATAGGTGGCATTCTCTGGTTAAAGGAGAATCTTGTTTTTAAATCCTTTTTTTTCACATTTAAGTCCTTCGGTTGGGGTCTATATAAAGTGGAACTGCAATGCTTTGGTCTGAATTCCTCCTTATTGTAACTCCACAAGCCCCCCCTTGCACCCCTTTTCTGAGGAGTGTCTCAGATCAACTCYTTTTGAGGCTGTCTCTTTAAATCCAAATGCGGCGCCTTACACCCCGCCCCCTCCAGCTTCCAGAGGGGTTCATTCTATTTTGATAGAACTAACTTTTTCATAATTAACATATTAATGAAAAAATGTCAAGGGATGATCGAGGATCTTGAAAAGATTCAAACTCAAATTAAGTGAAATAATCTGCCAGTGGAATAAGACAATTACACRTGCTAAGATTTCTAGAAATAAGGAAACTTTGTAAGCTAACAAGATGAAAAATCTAACACATTCTTCTCCTGCTCAGAATATCAGTCTCAAAACAAGATTAAAAACTACTTTTTGGCTAGACATAAGATTGACAGATTTGGTAACATGGACAATCAAGATTGTGAATAATTTAATACTTATGGATTTAAAAAAAACATACACACAGTATTTTATATTTCTTTGACTTATCTTTTCTCTAGCCAAACCCTATATTGATACATTGTTCAGTTCTGACTAAAAATAAGCATTATTATTTATTAATATGGTTTGGGTGAAATGTTATCAGTTTCATTCTGCAGTAGCATCAGTCAACATAAGCAAGAGATTCATTCAATATGCAGGTATTGATCATATCTTTGGTTAAGAGAGCAATATTGAAGACTGAAAGCTAAACCAAGCTGAGGAAGTGTCTGAGGAAGACTTCGATATGATTCTGAAAAATAAGAAAAGGCCTTATGGCACAGCATCAAAGTTACTCTGAGGCCAATAGGTAAGCTGGATCACATGTTTCAGGCAACAAGATGTTGAATATGGGGTTTTTCAATAAGCATAAGAGTTTCCTGAACTAAAAATCAATAAGAAAAATTTAGTAAACAAAAAATCTAAAACAAAAATTTCCATGTTGTGATCTTATGCTCGAACCTTTGCCACTAAATATAATAT